GTGTCAAACTTTTATTCAATTAAAGGAGATATTAGACGTCTTAAGTCCATAAATGCATTTTATTTGGTTTTCATCATTTGTTTCTTGACCTGACAGAGATACTTTAAAAATATATTTTTCATCTGTATCTCTGCTGAAGTCATTATCAGTCAGGAACCGTTATCTGGCATTTGTCAAACTCTTACACCCCTTTGACCTCCACAAGGTCTTAGTCTCAAGGCCACGCTCTCACTAAACAGGAATAAATACTTGTGCTTGCAGGTCTGTATAGAAAACTATTACTCACACATGTCAATACACAAGTGTATTGACATCTGGCAGGTCCCGGATGACACACATCCGGAACCTGTCACTGAGCTTCGGCTCTTGGGTCGATACCTTATGTGAGCCTGGTTCATATACATGACTTTTAAATCCTCTTCAGGAGATCTCATTCATCTATATTGTATTTTGGGGGTGGCAGAAATATAAAATTTTAATACCTGAACAAATAAATCCATAGTTAACCACATTGTAACTTGGACTCTATACATCTTGTCTGATTTGTCTGAACAAAAGGTGCTTGGGATTCTCAGTTAGAGTCATGAGGTCAGTATTATGCAATACTTTGCAGTATCATAATCAAGTTTTTAACACTTGTTTCCTCTAAATCTACATAAAACCTTTCTGAATTCAGTTGTGAAGTCACAGGTTCAGTAGATATTGTCTCTACTGCTGTTTTACAGATGGGAAATATGTAGCAGAGTCCGACCTTTCTGACCTCTGTGTTTGTGTTTATGCATAGGTAATATTCTTGTCATTGCGATTGTGGCTGCAACCAAGACTTTCCACTCGGTGGCGTCAGTGCTGATCATGAACCTGGCCATCAGCGACCTCCTGGTGGGCATCGGAGTCATGCCTTTTGTCGCTCTGTCCATCATGAACCATGGATGGGTGGATTTCTCTGTACGTCACCTCTGTTAAATGTCATATAAACTGCATCAGTGTCTGACATGACCTAAATCTGACCTCTCATGTTATATAACCTGTTTTCATTTGATCCCTGAGTGTGCACATGTTGACGTTGTGTCTCTCCTGTCTGACAGCACCTCTGTTTGTACGTGGGTTACACCTCCTCTGTGTATTGCACAGCCTCTGTCCTGACACTAGCTGCCATTGCTCTCGACCGCTACCACTCCATCATAGACTGTCTGCGCTACAGCTCCCGCTGCACCCTGTGGAGGACCAGCGCTGTGGTGCTGTGGATCTGGCTGCAGGCTCTGGCTACCAGTTGCCCTCCCTTGCTGGGCTGGAGCTCTGTCAGTTACGTGGTCCCCATGTACAGCTGTGCCGTCAACTGGGCCAGCAGTCCTAGCTACACAGCTTTGATGGTCGCCCTCTCCTACCTCGTACCTGCAGTGGTCATCCTCTTCTGCTACATGAACATTGTCAAGGTGGCACGCAGCCACGCAAGGAGGATTCATACCTTAGAGGAAGCTGTCCAGCGAAGCAGGAATCAGACCCCCGCCTTCGCTCCTGGTGATTCACCTCAGCTGCAACAGCGTGGGACACTCCACAGCTCCTCTTCACTGATCTATCATGTAAGTGGCCAGTTTGTGCCTGATGTCATTAGAGAAGACGAAAGTAATATCAGCCCTGCTCTTCCTAATTCTGCTACAGAGCAGAGTAACTCTGTAACTAGACGTCTGGTCTCCATCCTGGCTCCCAGCACCTCCCAGCCTCCATCTGAGAACTCCCAGCAGCACCATAACCAACACGGAGTTGTGCGTCTCTTCCTGGTCATCTCAGCTTTCTTCTTCTGCTGGACACCTTACGTAGGTGTGGCCCTCGTTCAGGCCACGGAAACTGCAATTTCAGGCCAATCCAGCCTTGTCCCACCCTACGCTGTTACCTTTTCATACTGGCTGGTGTTGCTGAACTCTGACATCAATCCTCTTCTGTATGCTCTGCTTAGCAAACGTTTCCAGGGGGCCCTTCAGGGACTTAGGCAAAATATAGGAGCACGTCTGGGAAGCATGCTTGGCAAGGCAGGGGAGGTCAGAGCCGAGGGAGACGACTGCAGGAGTAGCGACCCCTGCACTCTGAACACCACCATCAGTCCACCATCCAGCACAGAGAGTTCTACCTGTGACGTCTCCAAGTATTCCCAACCCACCCTTCCTGTCAGCACGGATCTCAACCATTTTCCTGAGGAACATCTATGCAAAGTGTGTCAGACTGAAAACGCCTCTTCACCTCCAGGTTCTGGTGGTGACAGGAGGGTGGACAGGTTGCAGGTTCCCGCTCGGCCACAGGAGGGCAACAGACTACCGTTCTCTGCTCTGACCAGGGAGCGTCAGGCCACCTTCCTCTATGGCCAAATAACAGTGAGAGTAGAGCATGATGTGTGTTAATGATGCAGTGTCACATCAGACTATGACTTTTTCAATGTATTTATTATTTTTAACTTACTGATTACATATTTGGTCCATAAAATGATTATTTTTTAAATGCCCATAAAAATACTTTGAAACCCAAGTTGGCTTATTAATTTTGCTTGTTTTGCCTATCAGAAGTCCAAAGTGCAGAAATTACATGAATTTAAAACAAACAAAATGCTGCAGTCAGTTATATTTTCAGTTCTCCTGTTTAAGAAATGTGCTGAAAAGATTTAGCAACTCATTTAAATGAATAGAAAAAACATATGGAATATTTTCATAATTTCATAATCCCCTTATATTTTTTCCAAGATAAACAAACAAAATTTGTCTTTTCATAATATTTAAGAAATACAGAAAATGCTCATCCCTATTGCCCAGTGCTGGGTATTGATTATTTAAATGTTTGATTTTGTCTGATCAACACGTCAGAAGCCCCAAAATACTCTTGCACATGAGACAAATAAAAGTAGCAAATGTTGGCATTTTGCTTGAAATATGACCCAAATTATAACAAGACCCCAGCAATATCAGCACATAGATATACCAGTCAACTAATCAACTAATCATTTCAATTTCCAGGTTTCTGGTGGTTACAGAAGAACTACAACACTGAGCAGGTAAACAAACCCGGAGAAGCGAATGTATTGAAAAGAATCTTTTATATAGTACATGTGATTACACTTGAAGACACCCAACAGCAGATCTAACAAACCCGTCATTTATTCACGCTCATAATGATCTCTTCCTCAAATGTGATAATCATATGTTGCATCTCAGTGTAAAAATCGTCATTCCTTACAAAGGTTTACATTTATGTCTAGCAATAATTCCAGAGGAATACAATATCATTATTTATTGTCATAGAGAATGACAATGGGAAACAGTGCTAATGTACTCTATTGCAAAACAAAGAAAAGGCAGTGAAGTGGACTCGTCAGCTGTATCTGCTCATACAGTGTGTGCATGCTCGTCCGTAGCTGTTTCCCAAAGTTAGTCAGCAACCAAATGCGAAAAATATTAAAAAAAGAGTCTGTGACGCGTCAAGAGTTTGTTTTTAAAAAATGCAACGCGGTCAAATGAGTAGAAGAAGGATAGTGTTTAAAAGTCTCTCTGCAGCAGTCCAACGTGGCACTGTAAAAAACACAGAAAAACTGATAGCGAGCGTGTGTGGTTCGAGTGATGTTCATACATTCACAACAAGGCAGAGTTTCCACCAGAGCTCGGTCGCCTCATGAAATGCGATAAAAGAAAACAGATGCTGCGAGCCTTCGACAAAGAGCAGGGGTTTTCTTTCAGCGTCAACACACCTCTCCCCGAGCTGCAGCGTGACAGTTTTGTTATTTTCCCTAGAAATGAAATAATTTCACTTAGAACTGTTGCAAATTAGATTGTGCATGTGAGCGTAGAAAGTTAAATGTGACAGGAATTCAAAGTGAAGCTCAGTGACGGCTGTGTCTGATGCAGAGTTATTAAAGGGGTAATTCCAAGTGTTCACGTCTGTTAGTGCTTTTAGTCCATCCTAGGATTTGGATACCTGAAGCATTGATTGTGACATTTAGTTATTATTTGAATTACCTGCATGATTAATTCTATTTGCTGCCAGCGTTGGTGTGGCGAACGCTTCGAGGATGGATTGACAGCACTCACAATCTTTTGACAAACAAAGCTCAACCATGTCATGCATTGAAAACATATGCAATACTGGTTTTAGATCTGTCGTGACAAAACTGCAGGCCTGAGCGATGGGTGTCAGCACTGACAGAGCGGGAGTTCAGCCCCGGGGAAAGCACAGAACCACAGGCGGCCAATCAGTGTGGTCAGAAAGGACCAGAGCTCTTCTCCTGGAGAGTGAGGCGTCGTGAAAGCTTCTCCAGCTCAGATTGATCCTCAGATGTCCCGACAGGTCCCTTCACACCAGATGAGCCCATCGATGCCAATCCACAGCTCCAGGACACAAGAGTTGAGACTCACAGCTATGTACAGTGCACGAAAGGCAGGTATTTGTCAGAAGTTTACACCTAAAGGCCGCCACTGCAGGGCCTCCCTTTTAGTTTTCAGGCATTCAGCATTTTTAGGCCTTCCTATTTGGATCTCGAATGTGTGCACGTGTGTGTGTGTGTGTGTGTGTGTGTGTGTGTTAAAGCCAGCGAGTCCACAAGGTATGAGGCCATCCTCGGACAAAATGTCTGTCATCAGGCAAGTTGGCAAGTTTTCCCAGGCGTGAGAATGTTGTGAACCGATGATTTAAGAGGAACAGTAAAATCAACACATGACTCAATCATTATCAGATGTTATACCTGCTATTGTATTTTTCTTGGGCACGAAGGAGTACAATTGGTATGAGTCCATGCACCAGCTCGGATAAGTTTTGAGTGGAATGGACGACCAAATAAATGATATGTAATAAATTCCTCTTGCATTTCCGATCAGAGGAGAGTCCAAAATCTTTTTGGCCAGGGAGCTGTGTGAAAGCGAGGGCAGGGCACCAGGCAGGTTCAGATGTCCCGACATCAACACTAACAGAGGCGTTAACGTGTCTACCTCCCTGTGTCTGTTTTGCATTGTTATACTACATTGGAGTCAATGTGTAAAGGTGGAGGTCCTGGCTCTCCCTCTCCAGTTGAGCCCTGTTGTGGCACCCGCCTCGGTGCTGCCCTCTGTCGGCTCGTCACGTTTGCGCAGCTTGGTGCTGAGCTGGATGATGCACTGGTCCCAGTCCTCTGGTAACAGCAGCATGAGGAAGCCCAGGCAGATGATGAACACAGCGATGAGGCGCACCGTGTTGAAATGGATTTCACATGTGTAGAGGTCCACCACTGTGAAAGATAATGATAATGAATGAGTATTATCCTCTCTACGGAGGCCACCATGTTTTTTACAGTAGCCCAGACTGGACAAACATAACACCTTTTGAGTTTGTATGACAGCTGAAGGCTCCCACAGGTTCTCTTTCGTGTTTGGAAGGAGAGGGTGAGGTGAGGGGTATTCAGCTGCAACATGCAACCTCCCCACTAGATGTCACTAAATCCTACAAACTGAACCTTTAAAATTAGGTAATTAAATGAGGTAATTAAACACCATCAAATGTTAAATGGCGTCTGGATCAATGAATTGTGTCTGAGAGGAAAGCCAAGGGACTTACTGGCATTTACAGGAACACTTAGGACGATGCCAAGTGAGATTAATGTTGGGTACGTTATCGCAATGCCAAAGTTCACCAGGATGTTGAAAGCTGAAATCAGAGCAGCAGCAAAACTTATAAACTGATATTCATTTGTTATGTTATCATTACAATATCATGTATACGCACTATTTTGCTTTCCATACCAAAAAGCAGGCCTGCGACCCCACAGAGGTAGGCCCAGGGGATGTTTTCAGGCGAGCCGATGTATTCCACGTGTGTGAAATACAGGATGACTGGCACGAAGCTGATGAAGACAAAGTTGGCGCTCCCAACGATGCTCAGAAAGAGTGCGGCCTCTCCAAATTTGGCACTGCCCAGGACCATCTTGAAGAGCACCTGAGGACAGCGAAGGCAGGACGAGTGATGAATGCACAAAAATTGGCCCCCTCAAGGAGCAAAGGAGGTACTGCAGAGGACGCACCTGCCAAGTACCTGCCCCGTCTCTGGCACACGGCTGCAGCTGTCTGTTTATCACATTAGGTAGCACTGACAGCGGGGGCAGAGGAGACCAGAGCCCCATCAAAATATAGTTATTTATCACGTAACCTCCTTGACCGGAACATCACAGCCCGAGGCCGGTGAGCAAATACACACGTATCACATGCTCCTCTCACTCCTGTCTCTCATTTCATAATCTTCCACTTTCCTCTGCCACCATGTTACACCAGCAGAGAGAAGCTACTTCTAGATTTCTTACATAAGATAAGACTATTCATACATATGTTTTGCTATTTTTGCATTTCTTTTGTTGCACTGCAAACAAAAGAAGTATCACTTCAAGTGTGTGGAAGAACACAAGCACTGGTTCTAAACCAGCCTGTTTAGAATGTACTGTTTGCTTGACCTGTGTTAAAGCTCTGAAGCTCTATTTTAGAATTATTCCTTGTCATTAGTGAGTCCTCCCATCGCTGCAGCAAAACAAACTTGCTTTTAATCTGAAGACAAATTGTTAAAGAGGAAGTAATATGGGGTTGCCATGACAGAGATCAGCACCTGCAACGTCTGTGAATATCTAGTATTCTAATATATCCTAATATATCAGTCCGATATTGTGAAATACAAATCATTTTAAAAATGATCTGGTGGGAGCAATATTATATTATTGTATAGTTGCTGATCACTGCTGGTTTATTCATATTGAAAGTGTTTTAATCAAAATGCACCAAACTCTGTATACTGCACCTCCTTGGGCCATTAGCAATGCACATGTCAAGTGGGAAGCCAGAAATGGTTTGTGATATATGTATTCAACAGAAAGACATTTGTTGAATTGTAGTAGTTCTAGTAGTAGTTGTAGATGTGAACAAATACCTTGTAGAGTGCTGACATAGATGCAGAGGCCACAACAAACGTAATGCCGATGACTGAGTGACTGTGGAATCCATCGGCATAGGTCATCATCACGATGCCTGCTATGGCCAAGATAGCAGCTACTATCTGAAGAGAGAGAGAGAGAGAGAGAGAGAGAGAGAGAGAAGGAGAGAGGAGTAACATCAGTGAATGACGGATGGACGACATGCTGCTCACAGCGTGGTGATAAAGACGCTCGAGACGTTACACAGCAGGCCCACATGGCCTCCACTTTGTTATTCACTGCAGAAATCACAGGCTTCACAGGAAAAGTCTCGTAATGGTGTAATTAGTGAGTTTTGGTTTAAAGTCGGCAGATTGTTCGTCTGGTGTTTACTTTATCTCACATGCAGCCGAACACAAACAAAATCTGCTCTCGCATTCACACCAGCATGAGAGGGGCCAACACAGGACAGGTAGCTTCCACAGCGTCGGCTCGATTGTCCGACATTGATTTCCGTTACTCTGACAGCATGTTTACAAACCAAATACCCCTCTGGACCCAGCGATCCCCACCCCTCCCTTTCCCACACCAACCTCCCACACCTCGCCTGTCCTATTATCTCAGCTGCACGGCAGCATCGAACCATCTGTTTCATCCTGAAATCTTTCAGTGGCATCTTACTGCTTTTACAGCATTTGACTTTGCTGTGTAAATGTTTTGAGGCGCGCGTGGTCGTAGCTGTGTGTGCAACACAGTGAAGAAGAACAGCAATAGGGACAAGGTCCGCGGTCCAGCTGAGTGGATGAGCTCTGCATTAAGAAGGTGTCAGGAAGATAAATGAGCCGTGTGTTTTTACTCGGCCAAGGCCCTTGGGTACCTTTGGCAAAGTGGTTCTTTCTGCACTGCAGGCTCCCCGTCACTCACAGCCACACCTTTCATTTCCAGTGTAGGGCCGTTTGCTTACAGGGTCAGCGAACCCTGCACATGTTGGTGCGTTCGTTTCTCGAGGTAATTCAGCATGGTGCGAGGGAGGAAAGGTTCATGACACAGGCGAAGAGAGCAGCTTGTGTGTGATTACAGTGTTATCACAGCAGTGTGTGCATGTGGATGAAGCACACAACTCCCTCTGCAGCTTATAAAACCAAAACACATCACACATTGATGAAGTTGCTCCTCCCATGACCTTCCAATATGTACACTCAACTGTGCCTTTGCTGTTTTGAGAGACAGAGACATTTTTTATCCACAGTATTACCAGAAAAACTTCCCCCATCTCTCTCTCTCCTTCGTCACTTTCATTACAAACTCGTCCAAGATCCCCTGCATTGCTGCAGACATCCAAACACTGCAATCTCCACCACCAAGCCAGAGAGAGAGAGAGAGAGAGAGTGTGAGGGTGTAAGAGGGGGAGAGAGGCAGGATTATTACAGTACTTGTCTTTCACTGAGGGCCTCTCATCGTATATAATGGGGGTGGGGAGCAGGGGCATGCACGGGCAACCGCCCTACGTCTCCCCCGTGAGTTTGTGAAAGAAAAAAAAATCTGCAGAGTGGCTGCAGATATGAAAATCGCAATTCACAAAGCTAAACCCAGACTCCTCTGCTTCCTCCTGCCCATCCGGATAGATCAGGGACACACACACACACACACACACACAAACACACACGAGGAGGCACATTTGAATGACACAGTGATCATTGGGGGGACATCACTCTGTCACACGGATAACATGCCCTCTACCTGACTGCACTGTGTGTGTGTGTGTGTGTGTGTGTGTGGGTGGGTGGATCACACACACACACACACACACACACACACACACACACACACACACACACACACAGTGCAGTCAGGTACACATGTACACAGACTCTTTTCATCATCAATGATGTAATATTAAACTCCTGCACAAAAGGGGTGACACATACACACACAGGGATATTGTACCACACTTGAACAGTGGGTATAGAAAACATAGTTGACTTCTTTCTGTCAACCAAAGCAATGACGGACTGTTTGTGTTTGGCACAACAAGAATCAATGAACCTTTGAGTCAGGACCGCTCCATATGGTCACTTTAACCTGAGGTGTCAGACGATGAAATTAAACTCAGAAAAGAGAAGAAAACATCCTCAGGTTACAAAAATATAGTGTAAATAGTAAAATATTGAAGATATTCCCTGATTCGTGTGAAAACCAGGAATAAGTTCCTTCCTTCATTAAAATATAAAACAATATCACTTCATACAGTATTTTCCATAGAGTAAAAGTTACATCGACAATATCAATGAGAAGCATATTTACACAGATGTTGTAAAACATCACAAACAGGAACTTTGTGTATTTTTCTAAATTAAATTACAGCATTATCTCATTATGCAAATCACTTAATTTTGACAGCTGTTTGTTTTGTTTGTTATCATCCTGTTTATTACAGGTAAGAGTTGTTTATAGCCTGGAGCGCACAACCCCAAAAAAAATCATTATTTTATCCACTTTGCTTTTTGTGACCTGTACCGAGACTCTAAAAATACAGCACCTCCATTTTCTTCTCTGGAGAAAACTGCAGGTAACAAAAACTGCAAGTGTGCACAGACAGACTCACCCTGACGCCCATGAAGCGATCTCTGAGTACAATCCAGGAGAGCAGGAAGACGAAGGCCTTGTTACAACAGAAGAGCGCCGACGCGTCTGTTGTGTTGATCTTCCTGAGGGCCTGCAGGTACAGGTAGTTGGTGAGGATCCACAGGAGGCCAAAGGGAGCTACCTTGGTGAAAAACACCTTGGGGGTCAGCCCGTCGTCCCCGAAAAACCTGCAGCACTCCCTGTGCAGAAACACAACACTTAGAAGCATGGACATTAAAAAATGTGGTGTTACCATTTTGAACAGGTGATTCATTCAGTGTTATTACGGCCTGGTGCTTGAATGCTATGAGCATAAGCAGCTCGGAAACCACAGGAGTGAGTAAAGTAATCCCACAATAACAGGTACTTCTAAATGAGCATTGAATCACAGTGTGTGTGTGGGATCAACTTCACTCCACTGGAGAAATACATAAACACAATCAGATCTGCCACGAGGCACTGAAATAAAATATTTCTGAACATTTCTAAAATTCATCATTCTCTGTTAATTCAAACTAAACTATTTATTCTCTGGTTATTTTGGTTAGTGTAATGTAATGAAGTAACATTCACATATCAGGAATCATGGTAAACTCTGTTTCAATCAGTCTGGGATGCAGCCTCGACCCAGTTTAACCTGTTTTGGGTGCCTCCTCATCTGCGGCCTGAGGAAGCCCTGGAAACTTTTTTGCTTGTTGGTAACTTTACAAGGCTTTTTGTCGGCGTGTGTGAAGCAAGGTGTATAAAGTCGATGTATGCCCTCTGATGTTCGATCAAAGATGACCCCATGACACACTTTGAATAACACCCCCCCTCATTTGAAGCTATCAACAACCCTGCTTTAGCCTCAGTAAAGCTCCTCTACCTAATTAACTTACAGGCACAGAAATACAGTGTCATGATTCTGCTCTGCTTCTGAACTTTTGAAAGACTGTTTGGATCTTTTTGAAAGATTTTCACTTCTATGGACTTTTGACATGATGCACCTTTACCCGATTTGCATTGTGTTTGTATTTCTGGATTCATGCTTGAGTTTTTTGTTTCCTGTTTTATTTTGAAATGTCTTTCCTTGTGTGTCTCTCTTGCTTTACGTTCTGTCTTTGTCCTTGTGATCGTCTTGCCCTCATGTGTTTCACCTGTGTTCAGCCTCCCTCCTAGTCTCTGATTAGTCGGTTTAGTTTAGTTTTGCATCGGCTCCTTCCCCAGCTTTTTCCTTGCTTCTCCTTCCTAGCTGAGTTGTTTTCTTTTTGCTGTTTGAGTTTTGGATTTTGTGTTGTGGAGTAATGGACTACCTGCCTTAAAGAGACTGTGAGTCTGTTTATTTAATTAAACATTTGTCTGCTATTGTTTGAATTGCAATGCATTTGGGACCACCTTGTAGGAACATAACACACATAAATAAGTAAAAGTAGTAAACTGAAATACAGAAGTAAATAAATATATAAATATAGACATTAATGGATAAATAGAAATACATAAATGTAGAAATGCTAAATAAATGTTAAACTATATAAATGAATGAATAAAAAAAGACATAATTTTTTCCATCAACATACTTTACTATTCTTTTAATGCTTAAAATCTGCATTTATTTATATATTAAGTTATTTATAAATAGCACCGTTTATTTATTTATTTTTAAACTGTATTCTTTCCTCGTATGACACTTCCTGTCTAAAAAATACTTTTCAACACCACTCCAGTATCAGAAGTGAATGATATTGACCTTTAATAAAAGACAAACTGATCCAAAGCTATTAGCCCGACAGTCTGTGTGCCACAATGTGTAATTCCCTAATGGAACCAGACAGTGAGAGTATGTTATCAGTAGAGTTTCCTGCACACTGTTATGTATTGAATTGTCCCCCTCATGGTTTTATGCAGTGTCCTGCTGCCATGACGCCAAGAAATATCTATTCTACTCCCAAGCTACCTGCCACCTCTTTCCCCAGATTCAAATATAACATTATTGAATTCTTCCAACGCTGCCACTGTTTACGTTGCTCTTGAGTTACACAGTTTACCCAGAAAGCATCTGGGGGCTGTGAAAGTGATGAAGCAGCAATAATGGAGAAGTGGCAGATTGCTGGATACTGAGGAGCAGCATTGTTTATCACATTAAAGCCTGTCACCATTTCATTACAGATACTGATCTACCAGCTTCCAGACCAATAATGACTTATTTTATTGTTACACATGTGAGAACTGCAACCTGCATAGAAGAGCTTACGAAGTCAGCAGTTACTCTATAAAGATTAAATGAGGTTTTAAACATATAGCAGCCAAGAACTAGTAACCTGAGTAATGGGCTCCTGAGAAGAGAATGAACCCAGACTACCTCTGTGTGTGCTGTGATCTAAGCCTGTTTGTTTTGTCTGGTTGCTTTTGCGTGTGAATGTTGGTGCATGTGAGTCAGTCCCCATGAAGCATCTGGCTGAAGTGAGATGGCTCAACCTCCTCTGATTGGCAGCGACATAGGCCTGAACATGACACCCAGGTGGACAAATACATTTTCGGACATATTTCATAGCACAGAAACATCGTCAACACTCCTGACAGCTGGCCACCACTGTGCCGTTAAACCAAAAAACATGCTGCTACACCTTATTCTGCAGTACCGCCATGCTTATGATGCTAATCGCGCTATCTGACTGTGGTCAAGAATGAAAGTATTTTACCAATTGCAGTCTACTGAAAACCTATTGAGACATCATTACTTTCACCCTAAAAGTTACATTTGAATATTTAAATATATGTAATATTTCATTATAACCCATAACCAGTTACATCCTCCCAGTAAAGAGATTAATGAACTTCTCAGTGAAGTTAAATCATCAACATGCAGAACACGCTGATTTTATGATTCCATTTATTTTTCTGTTTCCTCCACCTTCAATCTCTCAGGTAAATCTCCACTCAGCACAGAAGCTGCTGAGTAGATGTAGTGAAAAGAACAGCATCTGCCTCTTACAGTGAAAATCATCTCCACTCATATTTGCGATGAGAGAAACCAGCTATTACAGCGTCAGATCTTCTCCTCCACTGTAACCCCTGCTTTATTTAAAGAGACAGGACAGCGATTACAAATGTCAACTCTCTAGTTCTTCTGTATTGTTTGAGATTCACCAGCAGGTGCAATTTGAATAATCTCAAAGGAAACAAAGTGTTTGATATTCGGAGCACGTCGGAGCAGCGGGTGCCCCAGATCCTCGTGTAAGCCCTGAAAGGAGGAGGAATGACATCACAGAGTTGCATCGGAAATGTAGAGCCGATCTCCCCGATTCACCCAGCCCCCGCCCCAGCGCCCTCTTTTTATCTGAAGTACTGAAGTAGCTTAGCAGGTAGCAGAGATAAGACGTTTGTCTAAAGACCAGGATTAATGGACTGTTTCAACTGTGAAATCATCTCGAACACACTCGGGGGAGCCGGTCTTTTCTGTTAGCTGCAGCAGCATAACTGAGGATGGCATGGGAACCCAAAACTCCAAATTAAATAAGTGGAGGCTTATTCTGGAAAGCAAACGAAGCGACTCTCATTAAGTCGGATTACCAACAAGACTAAATCATGAGAATGCAGCTGGTCGTGACAAAACTAATCAAATATGAGATGTGCTTCTTCTTTTTTTTTTTTTACAATTTTTATAAATGTGTTAAACAAATAAGTAACCAAGGTTCTTGCTTGTCCTCCACCCAACCCTATCCACATTCCACTATCCTCTTTTCCCTTCCTCTCTCATCCCTTCTTATTCAATTTGGTGCCTCTTAGCATGTCTCATTCTGGGCAACGTTCAATATATCCATATCAGTTGAAACCTTTAAATGACTTAGTGTTGTGTCGTGTTCATTGCTAGTGAAATGTCTACTCCCATGGGGACTCTGATCTATATATTTGCTGATCAATGTTTAAACTTTATTGCACATGACTTCCATGGGTTTATCCTCTTGGCCATCTATTTGATTGCAGTTGCATGTTGACTGTATCACACCACATCAACCAAATACTTTTTTTGTCTTCATTTTTTTTTTTTTATATATAAGATAATAGCAAAGATTAAGGAAACCCTTGTATAAATAATTGACGATAATACTAATTATTACTAATTTCCACAGAATGTGCTGGAGTATTCCAGCTGTGGTTGAAGAAAAGAGAAACTGTTTGTTATGAGCTGAGAACTTTCATCAAACTGATTTCTAATGATGACATTTCTCTCTGGTTTATACTGACACTGTTTTCTCTTCTGTGTTGTGAAACTGTAGGACAGCTGAAGTCTGTGCATCACATCTTAGTATAAGAACTCAGGCTTTGACTGTAGCTGTGCTGACATTTGCTGATGTTATTTTTCTCTACATTAGATATCAGATTGTTTTGTATGTGCTCGGCCGGATAACAGCAAAAAGGAAGCAGAAACACATTTACCAATGAAATAAACCAAGAGATTAAATGGTAAATGGATATAAAATTGTTCAGTTTTGCCAGTGAGGAAACCGAACTTGTAGATCTGGAAAAGTCATCCATGTGACTACAACACCTTCACCTTGTTTGTCTTAACTCCAGCTGGCTGCTATATTTATATATATAAGTTGCTTGTTTTCCTGTGCTGATGCAGTGACAGTCTTCTCACCTGAATCTCTGTCTGGGCGTCTGCCTCTCTGGACTCTTGCACAAGTGGCCGATGTAATAGAGGGGGAAGAAGAGGCAGTTCCAGGTGGTGGCGAACCAGGTGAGGGTGAAGGGGGCGTCAAACTGCTTAAAGGTCAGCTTGGCCAGCTGGGTGGAGCCTGCCCAGGATGAGCACACACACATCACCATGACGACTCCCCACAGGGCCTTCCGCACCTGCACAGTTGTGACTCTGATGCAACAGTGGAGCTTCCGTCTTTTGGAGCCGGACTCTGCTCCCGCCGCGCCACTGGTCGACTGTGCCTCCGCAGTGCCCACCACATTCTCCCTGATGCGGTCTTCTCCTATAGAAGAACATGTGCACAAATATCAGACTGAGAATAAAACACTCTGATACTCGTTCTAGGCTCAGGAATAGATTTTGTTAAATAGTAGCTAAGGGAAATGTAATGACACTAAACTAGAATGGCACTCATTAGAGCACATGCCACCACCAATACCTGAATACCTTGTGTAGTAAATCTTAACTAAAGGCTTGTACACTCTTGTGTAAGTAACTTCAGGTCCCCGTGTCCTGTCGTCTTCTTCCAGTTAAAAATAGCCGCTTTCGCAGTTTAATTGAACTTGAAGGTAATCAATCAGACATCTGAGTTAAAAATATGGTGATCGAGTGAGACAGGCAGCAGCCAAACAGAGGACAAAAGCGGACAGATCAGATATCCAATACAAGACCTCTTCTCCACCTCCATGAGTTACAATGCCGTGACCGTGTGTGTGTGTGTGTGTGTTTGCCCAAGCGAACAAAGACACGTATAAAAACTCTGCTTGCTATTGCTCATGTCAGACCCTGACAGCCTCATCTTTTCCTCAATAATGTGCCGAGTGAAGCAAAGTGATGTGGAGCTGTTTTCTGTCCCACTCACACCCACGCTGTGCGTTAAAAGTTACCAAGGTCGTTTTGTTCCCTCAAGTCATTGAACTTACTGATGTAAACGCCAGTTATGGCTTTGTAAATGTGAGTTGAACTATAAAAGTTAATAAGCTCAAACACCATTTTTAAGGGACTTTATTCTGTCAATAAAAATCAGCTGCGTTAGTCACACAGCAGATATTCACTCAGACAGGTTGTCTGCAGCTTCCTTTAACATACATCAGCATATCTTGACTAAGACTAAACATGACCATTAAGACCCTATAAATCAGATTAGACTCGTAAATTTTCAATCTGCGAGATGAGATGACCAAACAATAACCCTACAGCAGCTCTGTTTCATAACAGCTGTATAATATGCACCATACATCTTCTGCAACTTCCAACAAGTTGAAAATGAGGGATCTCCCTAATGGTGTTTCCAGAGGTAATGATGTGCCACAGGGAGCCTTTCCCGATTCATCTGCACTGTATGCTGCAGGACTGGAATACAGAACGCACTTCAAACAGGAGATAAGAATAACTCTGATTTAGGCTGGAGTTGCACTGTGTAAATTACTATTGTGCTGCAGCAACAGGACACAGAGCTCTGTCCTGTGTCAGAAGTAGACCTGACAACACCGTCTGTCGTTATGTTAATGTAATATGTGTAATAAAAAGGACACCTATTGTCCCATTTAAGTGACGTACTACATATTTTACAATAGAGCTGTATTAGAGAGCATCCATCACGCCCAATGTGGCGATTCATTCTTCCTGGTAGAGCTGCTTTGACCTTGCCAGGTGGTCTCATCAAATCACAGATTAACTTCCCGGATGACTATCGCCTCTAATGCTAATGCCCCGGCTTCCCCAGGCTACTTGCTGAATGCACAACACATTCTTATTGTGTTTTCCTCCTGCAAAAAAACAAAAGAATGTGATGGAGCTAAAACACTAATCTTACTGTACTTGTTTCTGAACAATGTTCCCTGCTGCTGCACCAGCGCTCGACGGCCCGGAGGAAAAGTTGGCCACGATGAAAGATGATTCAAGATCATTGTCTGTTATTGCATTGAAATGATGAGTCAGCGAAGACCAAAAACAGAGACAAACACACGTGGGATGTCTGTCAAAGTCTTTGCGCGCACAAGGGTGAGAATTAAGTTTCTCTATTCTGAGCTGCGAGCCTCTTTGTTCCACCCTGAAGGTCACCTCTTGTTTACGCCGCCCAAGCTTTTGTCCTTCCTGGGCCGCCATCCCAGATCCCGTGGCCCTGGCCGCTGCTCCATACTGCAGCACGGTTTAATCTTCCAAATGCAGTGATGGGCCAAGCCAATCAGCCCCCAGCGAGGCAGTGGGTGCCGGCAAAGCATTTCCATATGGGCACAGTGAAGCGTCACAACAACATCAGTGATATAAATGTCACACAGCCCAGGCCGCACTCATCAATGAAACTAAATATTCATTTCATTTACCTGATGAAGCACTGATCCAATGATTTAAAGAGAACAAATTCCTCTCATACTTGTCCTGACGGTGACTAATGACACTTTATCAACCTTCACCGTCAGCGGAAAGCAATGCGGAGGGAGCTGGGTCAGTAGAGTGACTGAGAGAGAGAGGGAGTCGTCCGCTGATGACATTTGAAGCCATTATTACCATGACCAGAGAGAGTCTGTCCCCTGTAACTGCTAAATGATTAACTGAAAGTGCTTAACCTTATCGGTTTGTCATCTAATGTCAACCGTCAAGGTCGGAGGCCCCGTGACACTGAAATGATTGCAGTACAGTAAATATCCTTTAGTCTCATTTAGTGTAATTTCTTAAAAAATATTATCTGATAATTAATCTCAACCATTTGCGTAATAAACCAGATTTAGATTACGGCTTAGTTGCAGATTGCTGTATAAGCAACAATGGTAAATTTAGCACGAGATAGAAATATCTCCATTCATTTGATCCCATTCAGAGTCCAAATGTACTTAAATGAACCGAACAGGCATCTGTGAAATGACTGGAGACAGGAGGAGAGTGTTTGGCATCACTTTGGATCCACTCTGACAGCCGTGCGTGGCTTCTCTTTGTTGCCTCCTCAAATGTACTCATCCCCACCCACTCTGCCGAATCAAGGCACCATGTAATTCAATATACACAGGTGAGGATGCAGAGAAAAGATGCTGCTATGATAATATTCACATTTTTCTTTAACTACTCTTGCATGAGAAAAACCCTCTAGTGTCGGGTGATTCCTCGCTTCCTGCGGGAAAATCTGTAGCTTAGTCTCTAAAGAGCCAGTAAATCAATGTTTGTGTTACGTGGTCATTTGTCTGCCTCTACAGTCTCAGTACACTTCGTCGCAGATCCTTGTAGCATCAGTTTTGGATCCACTCTGACAACCATGTATCACTTCTCTTTGTTGCTGATGATATTTTCCTTTGCATGGGAAAAAAATCCCCATGTGAAAACCTGTAGTTTAGGCTCTTTACGACTTACAACACAATGAATCAATGTTTATTTTATGTGGTCATTTGTCTGCCTCTACAGTTCCCGTACACTGAGCACCTCATAGGCCAACCCAGTCGTATGCCCTGCTCCCAGTAGGACTGGAGCGCTCCGATTGCTGTTGAGATTTATCTGACCATTAACAAGACAGTTTTCCAGTTTTCCCTCCATCTCAACAACACATGCTTCCCTGCTTCCCTCTCGTTCCAGCTCTCCTCCCTCCCCCTGCAGACTCTGCACTGCAGATCTCTCCTGCTGATAGAGCTGCAAATCCCAAACGTGCCAGCAGAGGCCAGCCTGCCTGGCTGCCTGCCTGCTCTCACACTTTACAGAACCTGGCCCCCGTGGCACGCCACAGAAAGAGGCCCTGCTATGTTCCTCTGTACCTCCCTGAACGAGCCACTGCCAACGCCACTCACCACTCTCTCTCTGTCTCTCTCTCTCTCAGAGCAGGAACAGAGGTCCTCACACTGGCGGTACAGCATCAGGGTCTGTGTTGGCTGTCGGAGCACGCTTCACATGGGATCTGAACTAACCGGGGAGACTGAGGTAAGAGAGAGGTTTGTCTGTTTGGTCGAGATCTCCGTGGGAGTGAGGGTGCACTGCAGCGCTCAGCCTCAGTGATTCAACAGGGTAAACAGATCAATCACTGGAGCACACTTCACAAGTCTTCTCCTTGTCTTACAGTCTGCTGAGACTCTGCTCGGTGATGAATATGAATTGACTGGTGCAAACTTACTTATTCTGACACGCTCATAATAAAAACAGTGCAGTGTCCTTGTTTGGCTGCACACACACACAGTTTTACATAAAACATTTAAGTCAGTATGTTAAAGTGTTATTACGTCTTAATGTGCTCTGTTTGCATTTGCATAACTTTCTGGCAAAGAAAGTTGACTGTCTGTGGATTATCCCAAGAAACCTCAATTTCCTGTGTCTGCATGGCTAGATACAGAATATACAGTGAATAGGTTTTCTGGAAATTGAGTGAACCGGCCCCTTTAAGTGTTTGGCTTGAATATTCTGGATGAAAAACAAGTGAACCAATACAAAAACTTGTTTCACCTGTCACACAGTGTCATTCACTGAATCAATGCCTGAAACAGTCCTCTTGTGCATACACATTTTAATAAACTAGATTCGGCACCAATTTCACAAACTCATAACTCTCAAGGCCGTTTCTAGGAATTAGTCATGAACTTCAAGCTACAGATGTCACGTTACAGAGGAGTGGTAGTTCCGTCGTGGTAGACAGACAGTCAGCAGTCACTGCCTTTGTAATCTCGACGTCTGACAGACAGTGGGAGTCTTTGATACTCGCCTGTGACAGCATGGTCAGGCCAAACTGTCAGTCAAAGGCCTTTCAACACACCAGAGCAGGCTCATCTGACAAGCCTGTCTCACTCAATAACACAACAGAGAGACGGGCGGAAAACACACCCTGCTGCGTCGACCCGGCTGATAGGTGGGACAACATGGGCCGAGGGGACGAGGGCCCCGGGAGGGCAGACAAGGGCGGGACGGCTGTTACTGATCCCGCTCTCCTTAATTCCTGACTCGTTTCTCCTTCGAGCTCAGAGGACGGTGGAGCGACTTTCTCGCCAGCAAACTTGTCGAGGCGCTGACCTGCCCCGCTGGTTCAACACACGCTCATGATGCAGGTCAGTGCTGCAGCCCCCGGATGTCTCTCTGGTTAGTGACACGACAAAACACAGCGTGCAAATAAGCACAGTGCGTTCAAATGAGTACATGTACCGTGTGCTATAGCAGATGCATGTACTAATACTTGGCACTGGGCGACCGTCAAACTGTGCAGTCTCCTGTCTTGAATCATCAATTTCTCTCTCTTGCAACAGTGAATGCATCACGAATGACCTGCAGTTTGACAGACTGCCAAGAGTCCCAGCTCTTTCTGCAACAGATCAATAT